CCCCCGCCGCGCCCCGCGGCGCGCGCACCGGCCCGGCACTCACGACTGCCCGGAGACGTGTCGTTGGGCCCCGTGCAGATGACCTTCTTGACCGGGTCCCCATTGACCGTGAACTCCTCCTTGCACGTGCCGTCGCTCAGCGTCGGCTTGACGTACACAAAGGGCTCCTGGTGGATCGTCACAATCTAGAGGGGAGAAAGATACCCAGCCTGGCCCACCCAGCCTGGGCTGCCCTGGGAGTGCCCAGACTCCCCTGGAGCCCCTCCAAATCTCCCACGTGCCCCCCACCCCCCACCCAACAGTGCCCCTTTCTGGAACTTGAGGGAGTCAGTCCGCCTGCTGCCCGTGCACTGCAGCCTTCAGAAGGCGCCTGCCCCTCTGAAACACTGTGCTTTTGTCTCCCCCACTTTTCCTCCCTTTCTTGGCTTACACATCACTCCCTCCGTTGGCGGCACTTGCTGGAATGTCCAGTCTGCCCTGGGCGCCTCCTCTGACCTCTCAGGGACAAGAAACTCCCTGTCCTAGCCCAAGGCCTGCCCCCTGTCGTGAGGACAGGCGCACGTCCACTCAGAGCCTGCACAGTCCCAGGGACCCAGAGGGCTCCCCTTGTCTGATCCCTGGGCCTCTCCCGGCCCTCAGCCTCCCCAGCAGCGGGTCTCGGTCTGATGGTCTGTCTTTCCTCCCTTCCTCTTCCCCCTACGGAGGCTGCACTCTCTTCTGTGACCTGCCTCTTCAATCCAGGGGCTCCCTGCGGCTCGTGCTGGAACTCTCTTTCCCCCCTGTCCTTCAAGGGCCTTTAGCCTGGGGGTGGGGAGGACACAGACAGGGCAGAGGGGACTGGACCAAGCCTGGCAGAGGATGAGGAGTCCCCGGAAGCGATGCTGGGGTTAAGCATGCAAAGTAAACAGGGCTCAGCATGAGAGGTCCGGTCGCCTGCAGGGTGGGCAGGCCCAAGCCTCGGCTAAGGGGTAGCATTTTGTTTTCTTCCCACAGGGGATTGGGAGCCCCTGAAGGAGCTTATTTGCTTTTAAAACTTTCATCATGTTTTTCTATTACACAAGCAACATGCCTGTGCTTGTAAAACCTCAGTGAAGCCCCCCCAAAAGTTATAAATAGCCATTTGCCTCACACAGCCTGTGTGGGACCATCTGGCCATCTGTTTTGGCTGTTTTGCTTTCAGACTTTTCAACGTGACATGTCTGAATGGCACAGAGAGGTGTGCCAGTCGAGAGGGGTGGTGACCTGTGGGCAGGTGCCGACAAAGGGGTCCAGGTGAGCGGCCATGGGGGTGAGCTCAGAAACCAGAAAAGATCCAGAGACGTTTGAAGACCTGGGGACCCCAGGAGAAGGCTGACTGAGCACATTGCATGTGGGGTCCTTGCCTTGGGTGAGCTAAGATGTCAGCTGGATCTTGTATGGGAGGGACTCACAGGAGAGCACCCTGGGAGGAGCAGGGGCCCAGGGACGAGCCCAAGGGGCATGGAAGAGTCAGGCCAAGGAAGAGAAGCTGGGAGAGATAAGTCCAACCAGGAGAGGGGGCTCCCAGAGGCCCAGAGTCATGGCGGGGACAGCCCGCCGCGGGGAGTGCTGCAGGGAGGCCAGGGTCAGAGGGACAGCTTGACCCAGTGTTGGCAGGGGGCCACGAAGGCTCGGGGGGTGAGGACCACCTGGGGGAGTGATAAAGAGTATGGAGGCCCACCCCCAGGAGCAGGACTCAGGATGGAGCGTACTGAAGCTGAAGTCCACAGAGTGGCCTCCCATCTGTCCCTCTGTCCCCGATCAGCTCATCCCCAGGGGAGTCCTGTCCCACATAGGGTGGTCAGGAGGGACACTGGAGAGGGTCCTTGGGATGGGGAGCCAGCGGCTTCCTCTCCTCCCTCCGCTCACTCCCCGCTCCCCGGCAGGGCCAGGTGTGCACCGTGGCAGCCAGGCCGGTCCTGCTCCCACTTCCTTCAGTCGCTTTCATGGCCTCACTGTCCTCTCATCTGCGCCTGAGGGGCTGGAGGGAGAACACAGGGTACGGAGGCTATGGCACAGTGGCGGGCCCCCACCTTCAGTCTGGTGGACATCTGGTAGCCTCGGGGCTTCTCTGTCTCTCCACCGGGCCAGATGATCTTCCTGTCATTGGGGATGACCTGGGGGTGGGAGTATGAGATGGAGGGTGGCCACGCAGGGGTCTTGGCCCCAGGACCCTAAGGCCCCAGCCCCCACCCCCTCATGACCCCCACCTACGTGGGTGCCATTGTAGACGCCCACTTGCACCAGCTTGCGGTTCTGCAGGTTCATGATGCTGTAGTTGGCGAACTTGCGGTCCCCGTCCTCGTTGAACTCCACGCGGCCCGTCACTCCTTCCGCGTACTTGGAGGACATCAGCACTCTGGAGAGGGCGATGGGTTAGTCTCCAGGGGCACAGTCGGACCCTCGCAGGGTGAGCCCGATGGGTGGCGTGCTTGTCTGCCAGCACCGAGGGACAGCACAAGCAGCTCCCGGGGTCGGGGCCCTGTCTGGAGGGCTTTCTGTGGGTTGGATGTTTGATTCCCAATGGCCGTCCTGGCTGTAAAGACGAGGAGGCAGCAGCCCAGGGAGGATGCTGCGGCCCACTGAGCAGCAAGCAGGGGAGGCAGAGTTCAAGTCCTGTCTCCCTGTGTGGTCGCACCTGTGTGTGTGTGTGCGTGCCCTATATGTGTGCACACAAGGTCTTTGTGTGGGTGCAACATGTACCTGTGGCACATGTGTGATGTGCCATGTGCCTCTGAGTCTGTGTACAAGCACATGTGCATGTATGCACATGTGGTCCCTTTATCTGCAGTGGTGTGTGTACTCCTCTTGTGGGCACCAGAGACCATGGCTCTGCACATGATACTTGGGGGTGGGGATGCTGGTGATGGGTAGGGCCTCCCCACCCTAGTGGCATGGTGTCCAGGATTCTGTGAATTAACTCCTGCCCCACTGCAGCCATCCACCTGGGTCTCTGGCCAGCCCTGCCTCTCTACAGACTTGTATGTCATCCCTGGACTTGTGGTGTGACCTCCTGGGCCTGTAGAGTCTCACAGCACCCCCTGCAGCAGGATCCTCCTCCCCAGGGCTGTTAGCCACCCTGGTGAGTGGGGTGGAGTCTGACGGTTGGCTGTGGTGTGAAAAGGTGGTGGCAGGAGCAATGTAGGCAGCCATGACTTCAGTGACATTCAAGGCGTGGGTGCCAGCGTTGGAAATGGGGCAGATAGATGATTATCACAGTGGAAGTGAGGGTGCAGAGGAGGAAACTGGGGAAGATGGCTGTCTCTGTAGGATACAGCAGGCTTGGCTGGAGCACTGGGCGAACAGCGACTGTTCCCAACCCTGGAATGGTGCCCCCCCTACCTGAGGAGAGTAGTTTTCCCACCTTAGAAGAGCGGCCACGCCCAACTCAGAAGATTGGCCCTGCCCACTCAGAAGAGAGGCCCCGCCCCCCGAGGAGAGGCCCCGCCCACCTCTTGAAGAGCGGCCCTGTCTTCCAGATGTTGGTGTTGCCCACGCAGCCCCGTGGCGGGTCGGTGATGTTCTCCTTCTCCAGAAGCTCGTGCACCGCCTGGGCCACCACGCCCACGGCGTCGCTGATGTGAGCTGACTCGTTCTTGCCGTTGATGAGCTGCAGCCCGATGATGCCTGGGGCGAGCGTCTGCTTAGAGCCCGTGGGGGACCCCTGCCCACCGGGACCCGGGAGCCCAGCACTCACCGTCCGGGGCGTAGCGCAGGGCGTTCCCTGAGATCTCGCGCTCCCCCACCAGCCACACGTACCCTGAGCCCGTCATGTTCAGCATCGCGGCTGCGCGGTACACGGTGGCAGCGTCGTCCTCGCTGTGGGGCAGAGAGGGGTGAGGGGCCAGGACTCCAGTGCTCCCCACCCGTGGCTGGCGGCGGCTGCTCCAGATTCCCAGGGCCGCCTCCGCAGCGTGGCCTGCCCCTACCCCTTCCCCAGCCCCTAGCCTGCCCTGAGGCCTGCAGGCACTGCAGAGATGGGGGACAACTCCCGTCCCAGGCCCCCACTCTCAGCCTGCACTGCTCCTCGGCCAGGAGATTCCCACAGAAGTGATGGGGGTGGGGCAAGACCCCCAGAGCTTCACAGGGGTCTCTTGCTGGCCCCTGCCCTTGGTGGTAGGGACACATGGGATGAGGATGGGCGGTAACTGAAGGATCAGTTGCTCAGCATGTACGAGGCACCATTCCGAATGCGCTGTGCACTATCTTATTTGATTCTCACAACATTCCTGCGAGACGCGCTTTAGTGCTACCCCCATGTCAAGAGGGGAAATTGAGGCCCCCGGGACACAGCAGTGGTGAGTGGCAGAGACACTGTGCCAGGACAGTCCACCCCGAGCCCATGCTCCCGCAACTTCCTGGACAAGCCATATCCCCTCTGGTCCTTCAAGTCTGAACTTGTGGGATGAGGGGCTGGGGGCTTTCTGGAGGGTCAGATGCTGCTGGGGCCGAGTGCCTGGGAGCTGTCTGGGCATGGCGGCAGAAGCCACTGGAGAGATGAGGGCTTCTGCTCTCCCATTTGGATTCCGCACAAGTGGCCGTGCTGTCCCTGCCTCCCAGGGCTCGGGCCCCTGGCAGGACAGAACACAGACCTCGCCTCGCAGGCACATGTGGTCCTGAGCTCTCGGTGTGTCCTCACAGGTGAGCCCCTGTGGACCCGGTCCTCTAGGGCTGGCGTTTCCCTGGTCAGGAGAAGGACCTTGGGCCTGGTGGCACTCCCACCTTCTCTTCCCCGTTGGGCCAGACCTGGCCCCAGGTGGGCCTGGGCCACAACTGGCCCTTTGCTTCTCAAATACATGGGCATTAGGGTACTGATGTCCAGAGAGGCTGGACAGATTGTCCAAGTGGTGGGTTATTTTCACAATGGCTGACTCTGGAAACCAAGGTGACTCTAGGTTCCCTGAGAGGTCTGCCCCCAGTCTGCTCAAGGATTAGGCAACGAAGAAATGCAAACCTCCAATGTTTGCTCTCAAGAAGAATGCTACTGTTGGATGTAAGCCACACAGAATAGGGGTGCTCCAGGCAGCCCTCAGCCAGGATTGCCCGGCAAGACCTACACCGTCATGTGTAGGGCGCAATGTGCCCACTCTCAGCGGTGCCCACTAGGCCTGGCAGAGAAGATTGCCTGCTTGACACCATTCAGGTCTGTGATGCTGGGTTTGGCAGCAGGAGCACACGCCTCTGCTCAAGTCCGGGAAACTGATACCTTCAGTAAAACAGTTCCAGACAAAAGTCCGATCAACGCATCAAACTGTTTTATGAAGAGAGCAGATCCCAGTAAAGACAATTTCAGAAAGTTTTTTTTTTTAAGTTTTGGAAGCAAATTAGAAACTCGGAGGCTCCCTGTAGCAAATTGGTCAAGGACTGATCGGCTTGATGAGGTCTCTCTGCAAAACGCTCTCCTCAGCCCTCATGAAGGAGGAGCCAACATGTGCTCATTCAAGAAGACCTGTCTCTGCCCTGCCCAGGGGACAGCCTGTCTTCCTGGGCTCCCGGGAACTGGGTGTGCTGGGCAGGCACATCTCCCTCTGCCGTGCGACTCTGGCCTCTCTGAGCCCAGCGTGGGAGGGGAAGGGTCCCTTCCTGCCCTGACGATCCAGAGGCCTTTCATGGATTCAGAAGGGGCCATGCTGTGCCTCTGGGAACAGTATATGTGCATGGGTGGGGTTGTGTGTGTCTGGAGGGTGTGGTATGTACATGGTGTATGTACACACGTGTGAGGGCATGTGTATCCTGTGATGTGCAGAGCACGTGCGTGTGGTGTGCATGCACACGTACATAGGCGAACGTGTGTCTGTGTGTGTATGCCTGGTAATGTCCTGTGTGCTTGCGTGTGTGGTGCACACACATGTATACGGCACGTGCGTGTCGTGTGTTCATGTGTATGCCTGTGAGTGCGTGTGGTGTGCCCACGCATGGAGGTCTGTGGGGGATCAGTGTCTGTTTGCCACACCCGGCTGGCCCCCTGGAGCGTGAGAAGGAAGCTGCTTCCTGCTGCCTAGCGCGAGGAGCCCTGGGGAGCCCTGGGCGGGCCCACCCTGCGCTCTGCCTCTGGGGGAGGGGCGCACCTGGCTCTGCACCAAAAGTTTGTTGACTGAATGTGCAAAGGACACCTGTCTGCCCTGCTGCTCAGGGTATCGCTGGCTCTTTCTGGCCTGCTGCGGGGTGACCCCTGCTGTTTTCCCCTGCTTTGTTGGAGACTGCAGAGCTTCTGGGATAGGGAGACAGTGTGTGTGGGGGTCCACACAGGCCTTCCCATGTCCCATGGAGCAGAGCTCTTCCTGGTGGCCAGGACTATCCCTTCCCAGGAGTTCACAGCCACCTGCAGAAAGGGAGGTATTGACTGCGGGCTCGTGCCCACGGCCACAGCAGGGCCAGGCTGCGGCAGCCTGGGGTCACGGGTCCCCATCTGCCTCCCCACCTTATGCTGCCCATTCCAGCTGTTCTGCCTTCAGTCCCAGGACACCAGCCCTCTCCCTGCCGTGGGTCTCCCCCCTATGCCCGCATGTCACTTCCTCGTCCCTTTCCCAGGTCCCAGCTCCCAGAGCCCTGTGTCACCCTATGCATTACCTGGGCCACGTTTGCATTCACAAGGGCAGGGGCTTATCCATCTCCCATCCCCAAGTCCCGGTGTATGTGGGCGGGGGGCTGGGACTGTCCTTGGCAAGAACATCTTGGAAGTTGGGAAACTCAGATCCAGCCCAGCAGTGCCCGGGCCCCAGCCCAGCAGTGGAGCAGGGGGAGGGGCACAGCCTGGCCTCACCTGGCAGAGAGGATGATGACCCGGGCCTCCAGCTCCCGTGCCTCCATCAGTAGGGCCGTCACGTTCTTGGTCCCCGGGTCGAACTGCAGCACCTTCTCAGCCTGTGGTGTGAGCAGAAGTGTTAGCAGGTGGCCGGGGCTGGGGACATAGCGCCTCAGGGGCGAGAGTCGAGCCGCAGCCGCTAGGAACCCCGAGGCAGCTTAGCTAGGGCTGCCGCGGCCTGCACCTGCCACCTGTACTGTCCACCTGCCTTCCTGGCTCCTCGCCCGGCCGGGCCTGGCCTCGCTCGTCCTTTCTTCGTCCTGCTTGCTTTCCTGCGCTGCTCTCTGCTCTCTCTGCGTCTGTCTCTCCACCTTTCACTCCTGGCCTCACTTTTGCACTGAGCATGCAAGCTGAAGTGGACCGAGATTCAGAAAGAGGCGTGCAGCGGACAAGAAACAGAAAAGAGTTTTGGAATGCAATCGGGAGCGGAGACGGGGCCGACTTTTCCAAAACCACGGGAGTTCCTCTCAGGCCTGGTCCGCAGGCCCTGCGGGAGTGGCCCCGACCGCAGGCAGGCGGGCGGCTGGGCGGGTGGGCTCCCTCCTGGGCTCCACGAGGAAACCCTGGGGGTCCCAGAGATTCGCATGCACTTCCCAGAGAGCAGCTCCTGCGGCCGGCCGGGCCTGCCTCTGGGGTGCAGGCCAAGGCCGAGGCCGCCGTGGGTGGGCCGCAGGTGCCCACTCGGCCTGCACCTGCCTTCTCCTGCCTATGGCTGCTGCCTCACAACCTCGCTCTCCTCACTGCTCGGGCTGCGGCGCGGCGCGGCGGGGCCGGACTGCGGCCCTAGTGGCCGAGGCGCCGGAGGCCAGGGCTCCCTAGTCGGTGGGTGGCGTGCACGTCCATGCATATATACCTTGGGTCCGCGCTTGTTGTCATAGGACAGTTGGTCGAGGTTTTCATAGTTCCTTTTTTTACTCTGATGAATAATGTGCACAGAGAAAATATGCAGACACAGAAGAAGATTATAAACGGTTGAAAATGACGGCGCTAAAGCAATCACACCACCTCCTCGGCACGTCTGCAGACGGGCACGTACCTGGAGCTCGCAAACACCTAGGCCCGGGGCGGGGCTGGGGGCCGGGGTGGTGCTGGGGGACGAGGCGGCCTGGGGGCCACTGAGTCTCCCTGCCATGGAGCTGTGCTCTTAGAGAAGTTCACACTCAGGACAAAGGGAGGCCCTGTCTGCGTCCAAGCTGAATGTGTCCCTCTGGGGTGCCCCCTGCCCCCCCACCCCTGCCATGCACCTGCTACGTGGCCCCAGCAGTACCCACCCCTCCCACATCAGTCCTGAACGGGGGTGACAGCCCCTCCTGGCCCTGACCCCTCTTTCCCTTCCCTCCCAGCAGCCCCTTCTGCCTCTCTCAGAGGTCTGGGGTGTTCTGCTTCCGCTGACTGGTGTGTGACGGGTGCACACTGTCTGTCAGTCTGCACTGGAGAGCTGGTGTGAGGAGTCTGGGAGAGCACATGTCTGTGGGCATCTGCATAGGAGCGGCAGCCCACGTTAGCCTGTGGTGGGGGTGGGAGTGGGGACCAGGGCTCTCTGAGCACTTGTGTGTGTCTGTGTGTGTGTGCCCATGTGTGGGAGTCTGGGTGAGACTGCTCGCAGACACATGCTGTGTGTGAGCCTGGTTGGGCCGTGGGGAGGTGTGGAAGGCTCCTGTGGTCTGGTCTGTGGCAGGAGGTGTGGAGTGTGGGGCAGTTGTCTTGGGGAGGGTGGCGTGTCCTTGTGAGAGTGAGTGCGTGTGGTTGGGTCCCAGGGGGTGTGACTGATGAGCGTGTGTGTGCCCTGGGCATGTGTGAGGCCACAGGTGGGCCCACCAGGAGGTGACATGCCTGCCTGGTGTTGAGGTGCTCTCTCTGGGTGGGCGGCCTGCGGTCCTGCTGGCCAGCCGCGCCTCCCAGACTCAGCCAACTCCCCCCAGCAGGACCCCCCAGGGCCCTCTGGGTCTGCCCTCTGGCTTCACCGCCACCCGGGACCCTCTATTCCCTTTGGAGCCTGTGGTGCCTTGGAGGGCCTGGGTTGGCACTCAGTTTATTGAAGCCAACTCTAATTTCACAGACAGAACATGCGCCCTGCCACCCCTTGGTCTGGCCTCCCAGGGCCCTCCCCAGCCTGGGCCTCCCTCCCTCTCTGCCCGGCTTGGCCCCCACCCAACCCGGGGGCCACGGCCTAGGTGCTGAGCGCCCAGGCCTCTGGGCTGGGTGAAGGCGGGACCCTGGGCCTCCTGTGGTGAGCACCTGCTCTTCCTCAGGCTGGCAGTGGTGGTGGGCAAGGAGGGGGATGGGGGTCACCTGGACCCCCAGAAGTAGCACTCCAGGCTATTTCTCTCCATGCCCCCCAGATGGGGACTGGGCTGGGGCAGAGCGGTGAGTTAGAGCCAGACGGCTAACTGGTCCCCAGGAGGAGCCTGGAGCCCAGCCTCCACAGTGGGAGGTGAGGAGAGGAGGGGCAGGGGGCTCAGTGGGAGAGCAGAGGCCTGAAGGCGCAGAGCCCAGACTCGGGGTGGGAGGTGGCAGGTGTCCGTGGATGGGGTTCCGGTGAGGGTGACGGGCAGCTGTGAGGTGGCGCCTGCGACGGAGGTGAGGCCAGCGCGAGGACATGGAATGGGTCACAGCAGAGAGGGGACTGAGTCCTGTGGGGAAGGACGTGGTGTGTGGTTCCATCTCACTGAGAGCGACGCCCGAGGGGAGGCCGCTGAGGACCGGAGCAGTGTTAGGGGGCAGAGGCAGCGCCCGAGTTCCGAGCCTGACCTCGGCCTCGGCCTGCGTGGGCTGGGGACTTGCGAGCCGCGCGCCGGCGCTGCGGACCC